AGTATTTGCACTAATTACTCCCTTAAAAGCATGGCGTATCTTTAAAAATAGAAACAATTATGATTAAATTCTTCAGCACAATTTTAAAATTATAATGAGCAACCACTAAGATAAAATGAGGCCTCTAAATTGTATGATGTTATTAAATGTTACAAAACACATAAGTATTAATTTCTGTTGCATTAAATAGCTAGCAAAAAGTCAAAATCAACGTATCTATAAATCATCTTTGTATCATAGTTCTTTGGAATAAAAGGAAGCCTCATGGATTTTCATTGTTATTTTATAAAGACTGGCAACAAAACTTTGTGACTAAATACATGTTTAATACACAAAGACAATTATACAAGTGGAAGATGATACAGAATACCATATCATACTAGAAAATGCTAACTGATCAAAATACAGAATCCTATGTTCAATTAATTTGTATTTGATTTAATACAGGAATTAAATCCTTGAAAACATGATCAAATATAATATGAAATTGATGGCAGTTACCCAAAAAGTCTATATAATTCTATTATACACAAAGGGAGGACAAAAATGAATCTCAGTAAGCGTTTTCATGATTTGAATTTCATCTTCTGCCATCCAATCATGAGTGAACATGATAGAGTTATCTGGCCATGTTCTTTTCTACTAACACACCTACACTGGGGCCTAATAAACAGCAAAGACTATGAATATTTTATAAGTAATAAAATTGGAAAAGGTTCACTATATCAAAAAGTACAGCTATCTGTAATAATTATATAATACTGCTAACGTAAGCGATATCTAAATACCCACAACATAATTAATAGAAAATTGAAGTAACTGTAAATGTAATGCAAGTCTATACTTATCCAGGCCCCACCCCATCCAATGCTACACTTAATTACATTTCAGATTTCCATTTGGCAGGGGGTCGGAGGGTGCCTAAATCTTTAAGGTAAACATCTAAATTTCCCATTTCATTTCATCTTACTAAACTCCTCCCAATAAAACCCTTTGGGAATCAACAATTTGGAATGAATCAAATAAGTACATATAAACAAATTTTCTTAAAATTTTGTACTAGGTTCTTGACTTAAAACTTGAATCAGGGCCAGGCAAGGTGGTTCATGCCTGTAATCCAAGCACTTTGGGAGGCCGAGGCGGGCAGATCACAAGGTCAGACATTCGAGACCAGCCTGGCCAACATGGTGAAACCCTATTTCTACTAAAAATACAAAAATTAGCCAGGCGTGGTGGCGTGCACCTGTAATCCTAGCTACTCAGGAGGCTGAAGCAGGAAAATCGCTTGAACCGCTTGAAACGAGGAGATGGAGGTTGCAGTGAGCCAAGATCACACCACTGCACTCCAGCCTGGGTGACACAGTGAGACTCCATCTCAAAAAAAGAAAACTTGAATCAAGTATGATAATGAATTTTCCTAAGTATCTGAACCACAAATTATATCCATATATTAGAGTTTATTAAACTATAAAGGAAGACTTTTTGACACTTTAAGTAAGATTAGTTCAGCAAATATTTTTATTTTAAATTCCAAATACTTTTGAGAATGCAAATATAATCAATGCCTTTTGTCTATAAATTCTTGCCTTGTACAGTTCCATTTTAAAAAAGAAACAGAGGAAAAGTTCTCAAGTCAGTAGTCAATAAAAATGGAAACCTAGAGAGTAAAGCAGGAGAGAAGAGGGAAGTGGGTCATATCATAGTACCCTGAGTCAAGCAGGGGAGTGGGGGAAAAGTGAGAGAAGAGGGAATGAAAAGCTTTTCTTTTTCAGACCCTCTTCTCCATCTCCTTTTTCCTGCTCCCTTTTTGTTTGTCCTTTTATCTGCCTCTCATTTCTGTATTCTCTTTCTCTCTTGTTCTTTACCTTTCATCTTCCTCACCTTTCTTTAGTGATCTTCTTCCTACCCTCACCTGGTTCTCTTGCTACCTTTCTTCTGACATATATCTCCTTTTCCCTATTTCTTCATTCTTCCTTAATGGCCTTAGCAACAAAAAACTGGGGGAAAGAAAAGAGTTCCTACCAAAAGTAAATTTTAATTAAGACAGACTAATTTATTCCCTAGCCAAAAAAAAAACAAGTCTTTTGTAATAAGAACAATGTTTAGGCTCCATAAAAACTGTGCCTTATTATAAACAAACAGAAAAATGAGAGCCATTTAACTACCAGAGTTTCAGAAAGTAGCTATTTTGTTGTTGTTTTTGTTTTGAGATGGAGTGTCACTCTTGTCACCCAGGCTGTAGTACAATGGGGAGATCTTGGTTGACTGCAACCTTGGCTCACTACAACCTCTGCCTCCCAGGTTCAAGCAATTCACCTGCCTCAGCCTCCTGAGTAGCTGGGATTACAGGTGCTCACCACCATGCTAATTTTTATATTTTTAGTGGAGATGGGGTTTCACCATGTTGGTCAGGCTGGTCTCAAACTCCTTACCCTCAGGTGATCCAACCATCTCAGCCTCCCAAAGTGCTGAGATTACAGGCATAAGCCACCATGCCGGGCCAAAAGTAGCCATTTGTAATGATTGTGTAATGATTCTGTAAAGATTTGGGAAACTCTTTGGTTAACTAAATCTCTCAAAAGACAACTAAAGCTTTTTCTTACCAATGATTCCATCTCTACCTGACCTTCTTAGTCCTTTGTTCACTGACTTCTGAAACCTGGAGTCTTTCATAATTCGTAACCTACTTCACTTCAACTCCTTCCAAGTTACATGCCTAACCCATATCCTCCTTTTCCTTGCTAAGCCCATCTGCTTTCACCTATAGCCACACCATTTGTGGCTATACTACAGAAAAGAAATGAGTTCGTCTTTCCAAAATTTTAAGACCTTTTCCCTAGCCTTCTCCTGTATTCTAAATTATTTTTTGCTATATACCTATCTTAACCTAAATCACTTTTGAAAAGGGAAGAGCTAAGCCTACACAAATTTATGAAATGGGCTAAATTCATCTTCAGCAACTTTTCACCTTCCCTTCCAACACTATGCCCCTCACTAGCCTGCCTATCAGAATCAAGACTATCATTCAAAGTATAATTTCACAAGCTTGTGCTATCTAGTTCCAGGCTGATTCCAGCTCTCCTGAATTCCCCAAGTCCCTGATTGGAGTTACATTATTAATGTCTGATGATGCTTAACATGCTACTTCCCCAAGAGGCATTCAGAATTTAATAAGGATCTTTAAGACAAAAATCCTTTGCCCAATAGTCCTCATTTTTCAACCACAAGAGATCTGAAAAATATACTTTGTTATAAAAAAAAAATAGCAAACTATAGTTTCTCAGTAAAAGAGAAAGAAGAGGAGGTACATGGTCCATAGAAGAAATATAATAATAATGGTTAGTGAGAAATATAATAATGGTAACAGATAAAAGTTAAGTATGGCATAAGACTTAAATACAATTTAAAAAGCTCCTTCCCTCTCCCAGGTAATGCCGAAAAGATAGCCATAGAAAGCTCAACACACATACACAAACTAACACACATACACAAATACACAGAGAGAGAGAGAGAGAGAGAGAATGAAAGAGACAGAGAGAGAGAGAAGTTAAGCAAGCTTTCATTTTGGTCCTATGCTAACTTAGAACAATTTTTTTCTAAAATTTTTCATTGAAATGCAAGATGAATGTAGCAAAGCTTACAAATCAAAAGTGAGCAGGTTATAAATTTCTGTAGATTGAAGAAGTCCCTGTAACCAGAACACAGATCAAGAAACAAGTCACTATTTAGGAGTTTCTTGTGTGTACCCTTTCAGTCACTATACCCACCCCACCAAGAAGAACCACTATTCTAACTTTAAATGTCATTGATTGCTTTTACCTCTTTTGAATTTCATATAAATGGAATCGCAGTATACGTAGTCTGGTGTCTTTTCACTTAACATTACTTGTGTAGGATTCAGCCATACCGCTGTATATAGCTGTAATCTGTTCATTTTCATTATTGCAGAGTATTCCACTGTGTAAGTATCCCACAATTTATGTATTCTACTGTTGGTTGACATTTGGAATTTCTAGTTGGGGTCATCATAAATGGTGCTCCTGTGAATATTCTTATACATGTCTTTTTGAGAGCATATGTATGTATTTCTTTTGGGTATACACCCAGAAGCGGCTATACTGAATCACAGGGTGTGCACATGTCCTTCTTTAGTAGATATTGTCCAATGGGCTTTCTAAAGTAATGGCTGTGGCTAAGATATTTTAGAGGACATAGTTCATTCTGGCCCTGCTTAAATAACAAAGCATGCCAAATTTCTACTTTGCCTATCTATAAATGATGGCCATGTTAGTTGAGACTATCACTCTGCATCCTTTCCTTTCTGTCACAATTATGAGTTTATTACTTTGTAACACAGATTCTAGACTAATTTACCCCAATACATTAGCTGAGTGTTTTGTTTTGTTTGCTATTTATACACAAGGAATATGTAGAGAGAGTGTTATACATTTAACTAAAAACTACAACCTAAATGCTGATGGTTTCATTTTGCAACGTCAAGCACGTTCAAGAAAAATTTATTGAACACCTACTCTTCACCAGGTACTGTGTTAAGCAGTAAAAGTTTATATAGTAAACAATTATAAGAGATGTAGCAGTTATAATAATAGCATAAATGAAACCATTTGTGGACATTTACATTCTCAATACTCTCATCTACCTCTCAGACTCTCCCTTTCATTTACTCAGGTATTTGGCAAGTAGCCTAAGATTATTTTCTTTCCAGCTCAACCCCCAACATTATCGTAAATGATTCTTATACCCAAGGTCACAAAGCTCCTTGGATGGCTTCATCTCCAAAAATACTCATCCAAGCTCAACTTCAACAACTCATTCTACCATCTGTAACTTGGAACTTACCAGTCAGAATTTCTTCACTTGTAAGATTTCAGACCATACTTGATAGCTGCTTACTCCAACTATATTTGTTCATAACTGAGTTGATACAACCAGCCCAGGTAAAACCCCCAAAATTTTTCTCCCAGGACTTCAATCCCTATATCTTCCTTTCTTGTTTTGCTTTTCTTTCAGAGTGTCATGTCTGTGGTTATAACCAGTATCCATTCAGATTAGTAAGAGTCCATAGGTGCAGTGGCTCACGCCTGTAATCAATTTTAGCACTTTGGGAGGTCAAAGCAGGTGGATCGCCTGAGTTCAGGAGTTGGAAACCAGCCTGCCCAACATGGTGAAACCCCATCTCTACTAAAAATACGAAAATTAGCCAGGTGTGGTGGTAGGCGCCTGTAATCCCAGCTACTTCGGAGACTGAGGCATGAGAATCTCTTGAACCTGGGAGACAGAGGTTGCAGTGAGCCAAGATCATGCCACTGCACTCCAGCCTGGGCGACAGAGTGAAAAATTTGTCTGAAGAATAAAGAAAAAAAAAAAAGTCAATGGTAGGGACAAGATATGGTAAACCCTTTAGGCAGGTCATTTAAAGAAATTTGTTGTTTAATCCTAAGTAAAAAGAACAAATCTGGAGGCATCACGTTACCTGAATTTATACTACAAGGCTACAGTAATTTGTATTAGTTCATTTTCACATTGCTGATAAAGAAATATCCAAGAATGGGTAATTTATAAAGAAAAAAGAGGCTTTACTCACAGTTCATGTGGCTGAGGAGGCCTCACAATCATGATGGAAGGCAGAAGGTGAAAGGCACTTTTTACATGGCAGCAGATGAGAGAATGAGAGCCAAGCAAAAGAGGAAATCCCTTATAAAACAATAAGATCCTGTGAGACTTACTACCACAAGAACAGTATGGAGGAAACCACCATGTGATTCGATTATCTCCAACTGGGTAGCTGTCACAACATATGGGAATTATGGGAGCTATAATTCAAGATGAGATTTGGGTGGGGACACAGTCAAACCATATCATACTTAGCATATCATAACTAAAACTTCATGCTACTTGTACAAATATGGACACAGATCAATGAAGCAGAATAGAGAACCCAGAAATAAAGTCAAATACCTAAAACCAACTGACCTTTGACAAAATTGACAAAAATAAACAATAAGGAAAAGCTGCCCTATTCAATAAATGGTGCTGGGAAATTTTGCTAGCCATATGCAAAATAAAACTAGACGACTATCACTCACCATATACAAAAGTTAACTTGAGATGGATAAAAGACTTAAACGTAAACCTGAGACTGTAAAAATTCCAGAAGAAAACCTAGGAAACACTCTTCCAGACATTGGCCTAAACCAAGAATTTACAGCAACAACCCCAAAAGCCAATGCAACAAAAACCAACGTAGATAAATGGGACTCAATTAAACTAAAAAGGTTTTACCCATCAAAATAAATAATCAACAGAGCAAACACGCAATCTACAGAACGGGAGAAAATATTTGCAAGTTATGACTCTGAAAGAGTGCCAATATCCAGAATCTATAGGGAAATGAAACAAAACAAGAAAAAAAAAACGAACAACCCCATTAAAAAGTAGGCAAAGGACGTGAACACACATTTCTCAAAAGAAGACATACACATGGCCAGAAAACATATGAAAAAAAACTCAACATCACTAATCATCAGAGAAATGCAAATTAAGACCACAATGAGATATCATTTTATACTAGTCAGAATGGCTATTTTGAAAAAGTCAAAAAACAACAGATGTTAGTGTGGATGTGGTAAAAAGAAAATGTTATGCACTGTAGGTGGGAATGTAAATTAGTTAAACCTCCATGAAAAACAATAGGGAGATTTTTCAAAGAACTAAAAATAGAACTACCACTATTTTACCCAGTAATCCCACTACTGGGTAACTAACAAAAAGAAAAAAAAAATCATTTTATCAAAAAGACACCTGTACTCATATGTTTATTGTAGTAGTGTTCACAATAGTAAAGTCATGGAGTTAACCTAAATATTCACCAATAGTTGATTGGATAAAGGAAATGTGGTATATATTCACTATGGAATACTATTCAGCCATAAAAAATAATGAAATAATGTCCTTTGCAGCAGCTAGACAGAGCTGGAGGCCTGTCTAGCCCTCCATTATGGGATTATGTGCTATTTTTATAAAAATTGCATCATGTAAAAATTTAAACACAAATTTTAATAACGTATGAGAAAGGAAAACAGCAGACATCTAACAAACTAATAGCACTAAAAATGTTATTTGAAAAATTAGCTGATCAACTCTAATAATGTCATAAAAGAGCTATTATAAAGGCAATGCCTAAGTCAGAAGTTAATTACATGACAGTTTTTAAAAAGATGTTTTCCAATCTGCTGTGGCTAAAGGACAACAATATTTCAAGTACAGAGAACAGTAGATCTTAAACATGCTTACCTATCATCTAAATATTAAGAGTTTGCATTTTTTAAAAGAAAGGATTTATGCTTAATAAAAAAAATAATATCAAGAATAGGGAAAAAAGACCATCAAAAAAGCACACACATTAACTTGTTATTGCTTCTGTGATGTTTAATCAAACAATCAAATATTAGACAATACTAATTTATTAAGTGACAAGCACCATTCTACATGCTTTAAATGTATAAACTTAACTAATTCTGCAACAAACCCAAGAGTAGATAACACTGTAATCTCATTGTACACATTGGGAAATGAGGACGGAAAAGTCCCATAACTTGTCTTACACCCTGCATTTAAGTGGTGGAGCAAGGATTCAAACCCAAGAAGTCTGGCTCTACAGCTGGGGCTCTCCCTAGAGCAACGATTCTATCACAACCACTTATTTGTCATTATCTCTGTAACTACTCCAGATTTTGTCAACCTGTGAGAATATCATTGCCACAATTACTTATTAATAAAGCGGGAAATATTTGATAAAAACAATTTTAACATTTAAACCATTTCAAAAATTATCAATTTTTACCTGCTTTTGAAATTCTGTACCTATTCATCTATAAACATTTACTGAGTATATATATGTAGGTATTGCTAAACACCTACATGCTTAAAATATGTTTTAATGTATAAATATATACGAGTCAAAATTCAGCCAACTTTCAATTAATTGCTAAATCAATTACTTGTGCTACATATCTCTGATCAAAACCTATAACAGCTTCTAAATCTCTTTGACCCACATTTCCCACAAAACCCCATTACATAATATTCCTGTAGTAAGTAATCACTAAGCACTGTTGAATCCCAAGTGACTGAATAAATTAATCTGAGGAAGTATTTTCTATTTGCATTAATCATAGTAGATATTTAATTCTTACCTAACTTTATCTTCTCTCTCCTTTTATTATATCCTTCTAGGGCCAGTTCACCCCTGGCCAGTTAGTTTATGCTAAGAAATTAAGAAATCCATAATTAAAAAGACAAATTTGAACTCTCTCTCTCTCTCTCTGCACACACACACACACACACACACACACACACACACACACACACAGACACACACACACACACACACACACACACACACACACACACTCTCTCTCTCCCTCTCTCTCTCTCTCTCTCTCTTTCCAAAACCAAACGGAAAAGCTAATTTTTATTTACTTCATTTTGGCCTATATATCCACTTCATTTGAATATGAACACAGATAACAGTTAAAATATAAGCTAAAAAACACTTTGAAAGTATAAGCATTGTTTTTTCGCTCCTGTTACTGAAGACACTGTGGCCTAATGAAAAAGTGTGTTTCTGGCATCATTCATCAGCTAATGTGATGTGAAATGACTTCATTTATATGAGCCAAAGAAAAATGGCTATTGAATGGAATCTTGACCTGAATCATTTGGAAAATGATTATAATCATAATCGTTTCCTAGCTTATCTGTTATATAAGTTCAAATTTTATATATCAAACTTATATATAGTATAACACACACCTGTAAATATGCTTTAGGTATCAAATTCATAGAAGAATTTAATAATAGTAATGGTTTATTAAGACACTGAAGTTCAACCTAGCAAAATTCATGCTACAGAAAAGCTGGAAGCAAAAATTTACTAATCTACAAAACTGAAGTATTAATGTTATAATTAATATATATAACTGACATTGTTCTCAGGTTCAGAAACTTTTCAACTATTTGACAGCAAAATCTAAACCTATATAAACTGAACGAAACCTAAAATGTATCTTACACATGAACTCCATATATATATACACATAATAGTATTATAAGGATTTTCACTGAAGATGTCCTTACAATAAAATATTAAAAACCATGTAAAAATGTCATTCCTTCACTCAGAATGCTCAATGATTTCTAATTTCTCTATGAGTTAGCAGTGAAGTCTCACTTGAGTCTGCATACTTTATGATCTAAATGCCCATTATTTCTCAGACCCAATCTCCTATTACTTTATCTCTCTTCAGCCACACTGGTTTCCTTTCGGTTCCTCCTTCCATCTGCTCTTCCCACTGCCTGAAATATTCTCACCACAAGAAGTCTCGTTTGCTCTCTTAATTCTTCCAGATATCTGCACAAATGCTACTTTACCAAGGAATCCTTCCTTAACCACTCTATGCATAAAAATACCTCCCAGCACTCATTGCCTTATTGCGCCCAATCTTGCTGTCTTTTTTTCAAAAGAATTTACCACCACCTGACATACATAGTATTTACTTGTTTGTTTATTGACAGTCTCCTCCAATTAGAGTAAAAGGCCCATGACAGTGAAAAAAAAAATTCTATTTTGTTCACTACTGTATCCCAAAACCTAAAATGATACCTGATACCTGATATTAAATAAATATTTGCTTGTTGAATGAATAAATGAAAAAAACTGAAGTAACTGTACATCCACTATTATAAATTGATACCTAACATGCATTAAGTAAAAAAGCAAGATACAGAACAATACTGTTGTATGCTCTAACACATGTGTAAAAGGAACAGGAGGCATTACATTTTCACTTGTGTTTTTATTTGTATACACTTCTGGAAGATTGCCTCTAAGGAAGAGAACTGGGACATTAAGAAAAGACATGTAGACCCACGTACATATGCATGTACTACTCATCTAAAAAAAATTAAGGTTTTTCCTTTACAAATAAGAGATATATAAAATAATCCTACAGAAAATCTACAATTCATACTTAAGAACTCAGTGAATATCAATTAATTTACCTGTAAACTAAGGTACATTTTTAGAAAAACTGAAATAGAATCTGATATGCTTTTCTACAGGATTTTAAAAGGCACAAAATATGTTTGTATACATTATCTCATTTCAGTGTCACAGAAAATCCTGTAAGGCAAAAAGGGTATATATTCATTTCCTCCCTCTAAGGAAAAGAAAATTCAGAAAGGTTAAGGAAACCTGATCACACAGCAGAGACAAAGCTCAACTCAGGTCTCCTTATCTTAGTCTGTTACTTTTTCCAATGTATTATCATTTGGTAAGGCTTGGAATTAACATTACTCTTAGATATTTAGAGAAAAAATATGTACCTGATGATAAAAGCAGATACAATTTCAGTGATGTTGCCAATGATGTCCCAATTTATTTCAATCCAGTTTTAGTGTTCTAAGCATAAAATTGAAATGTCAGACAATAACAATACTATAAAATGGATTACTATTAAGTCAAAATGACAGACTATTTTTTTTTTCTGCAGTGGTATGAACTTGGCTTACTGCAACCTCCACCTCTCAGGTTCAAGCGATTCTCCCACCTCGAACTCCTGAGTAGCTGAGATTATAGGTGCCTGCCACCAAGTCTGGTTAATCTTTGTATTTTTAGTAGAGAAAGGGTTTCACCATGTTGGCCAGGTCAAACTCCTGATCTCAAGTGATCTGCTGGCCTCGGCCTCCAAAAATGCTGGGATTACAGACACAAACCACTGTACCTGGCCTGACAATTTTTAGCCAACAAATTAGATGTGCTGTTGGTTGAAAATGTAACAAAACATATTTTACTGATATTACTGCTCGATTAAGCAAAACTAAGTAAGATGTGCAGAGAAGAAACATCTATGTTGCATGTTGGTCTAGCAAGAGTTTGTGCAAAATGTGCAATTTCAGAAACAACAAAGGCAATTATCATATAGAATAGCTAATTATATTTATAAAGTAGAAATTCATTTAATGGTGCCATCAATTCTAGACATATTTGACACATAAGGAAGATTCTTTCAACAAAAAGTATTATGTTTGGTCCAAAGCATATGTTGTCATAAAGTAAAATAACCAGATTATTCTGTAATGAAAATAAAGTCCAATTCTCCAATTCAGCATATACTGATTGAAAACTTATTATGTTCTTACAACTAGATAGCTTAAAAAAAGAATGTAGAACATGTCTCTTAATAAATAAATATAATAAGAAAGTCAGAAGCAGATGTTTACTTGGTTATTAGAAAATTTTGATATTCTCATCATATTCTCATCACTATCGAAAAGCAGTCAACAGAGTTTACCCTTCTAATTTACCCCAGAAGGCAGATTCTTCTACCCCACAGAGTCAGAATTGAAATAGTATATAAAATAATCCTTAAGTTCACAGAACACATAAGCAATTCAAAATGTCTTCAGAATTATTAGACATTTAATCTGTCATTATCCAATTCAACAAGAAAGAATTTATCTTCTAACTCAGCATTTCCCAAAGTATGCTGCATTACACTACAGACCCCTCAGAAGGCTCCTTGAAAGGGAACTGGGGTAATATTTTCAGAAACAGTGCATTCCATATACTACTTCCCTTCTTGGGCATTTAATACTCAAGGATTAGAAAGTTCCCGCAGTCAATATTACTGTTTCTTTTGGCTTCACCCAACGTGACTCAAATTCTTCAACTCACGTCTCCATGGAACACTTCTTAACATCCCACAAACTAATGGGACCTACACAGAGAAAATAAAGAAGTTATCTAATCTAACGAACCAAATCAATACAACAAAACTCAGACTAGTACTATTACCAGCCTAGCAGAATAAATACGGCTGACACTGCTAGGAAAACCTTCCATAAATTATCACTGCACTTTTCCTTTTGTAATTATAATGGCCTCAAAGATATTTTCTCTAAATGCTCTAAAGATGTGTATTTTTTGTTTGTTTGTTTGTTTGTTTTTACTTTACCACAAAAACTATCTACAGGAAAAAGATGTGTATTCCTATAGCTCATTTTTTCCTGTTTAATAGAGTATTGCCAAAGTTCAAATAAATTTATTCCCCTCCAGTAGTCTATAAGCTTGATGGCATAACAGAAAAGACTAATCTTTCCAAAGTTATCATAAGTGTTAGAAAGTTCTCTTAAGTTCAGAGTAGAGTGAATCTTTACAAATAAGGTAACACTGTGATTTATGGTTTATAAAGGTTACTAGTAAACCAAAATTATTTTTATTTTATTTTGAGACTGGGTCTCACTCTAACACCCAGGCTGGAGTGCAGTTGCACAATCATGGTGCACTGCAGCCTCAAACTACACAGCTTAGGCAATCCTCCCACCTCAGACTCCTGAGTAGCTAGGACTACAGGCACGTGCCACCATATCGAGCTAATTTTTATATAAAGGTAGAGACAAGGTTTCCCCATGTTGCCCTGGCTGGTCTCAAACTCCTGAGCTCAAGCAATAAACCCACCTCAGTCTCTCAGAGTGCTTGGATTAAAAGTGTGAGCCACCACACCCAGTCTACCAAAATTATTATTTTTTTAATAACAGTAGGGTTTACAAAATGGCAGGGATTTATTGTTGTGGTAGACACAAAGCAATTATTATTTATTACATTCCCTTACAGGTGTGTCATTGAAGATGTTTCACTTTCTGATTCTGCTTAGTGTCACTGGATAGAGGAAATTCCAAAATTGTAAGATTCGATTATCTAAACTATTATGCCATCATCACCTGATTTAACAACCTATCTCCTCAAAGCACTTTTCCTTACATTCCAAGATGACATAAGGAAGATAAGCATTGCCTTTCAATGTTCTATATTTCAATGCATATAATTTTTCTTTTGATCACTCTGGGGCTCCTATGAATGTTCCTACCATATTTTTTAACCACCATTCCTCTCATGATGGCCTCTCTGTCTATTACACAGCTTTAATTCTTCAATCATTATAATCACTTTATTAAATGCATCTTCCCTCCTCTTCCCCTCTCTTACTTAATTCATCATACTTGTCTAGCATAACCATAACTTTAAAGAAATCCAACTCTCTGCCCACTCTGCATCATGCCAGGATGGATGAACATACTTGATAGAAAAAAGTACAACCATACTGACAAGTCCCACCTTAATTAAACTCATGATCCAAGTACTACATACCCAACATATATTCTTGGTTGTACTGTGCAGAACCACAATCTTAGGTGAACCATTACTAACACTCAGCAATCACACTGCATTGTCCTAGTCCATTCATTCTCCAGTCTCCTAGATGATTTCCCACCTTCTTCAAACATCCAATACCCTCTTCCCTCATCTTCACTCTCATCCAGTGACCTTGACTTTGATTCTACTTCATTGAGAACACAAAGCAATCAGAAGAGGACATTAACAAAATCCCCAACCACATATTAGGAATTACCATCCTGTTTGCCAGTTATTGTGCCAATATTAAAGCCAATCTATATGGATACTAGATCCCATCTTCTCTCACTTATTAAGACATATATTCTGGGCCAGGCATGGTGAATCATGCCCATAATCCCAGAACTTTGGGTGGCTGAGGCAGCAGAATCACTTGAAGCCATAAGTTCAAGACCAGCCTGGATAACATAGTAAGATACCATCTCTAAAAAAATTAAAAAATAAAAATTAAGGCATGGTGGCTTGCACCTTAAGTCCTGGCTATTCATGAGGCTGAGACAGAAGTATCACTTGAAGTCCAGGAGTTTGAGGATGCAGTGAGCCATGCTCGTGCTGCTGTACTCCAACCTGGGAGACAGCAATACCTTGTCTTTAGCTCTTTTTTCTAAGTGCCTCATTTCTTCTCAAAATGATTAGTTTTCCCCTTTCTAATGGACTGTACCTTTAACATTCAGATATAATAATTTTTCCTCCTCTTAAATACCCTAATGTTCCCAAATTTACTGTCTTATTTTTATGTGCTTTTGTTGCATAAGTCCATGAAAAATATGTCTATGCTCACCATAGACAATCATTCTCTTTTCTTTCTCTTAGGCTTACCCTAATCAGTGATTTATCCCCACCATTCCATTAAAACTGCTAACCAATGACCTCTGTATTGCTAACTCCAATGCTCAACAGTCAGTTCCCACCTCACTGCACCCATCAACAACATTAAATACAATGGATCACTCTCTCTGCTTTGAAATACTTTCCTCACTTGACTTTCAGGACACCAGATTATCTTCATTTTCTCTTTCACTGGTTTCTCCTTCTCAGTCTCTTCTATGGATTCCTCTTCTCCTAGACCTCTTAACTTGATTTCAATTTTTGTTTCTCTTTTCTTCTCTGTTCTTTCTCACTTGATGATCTCTTACAGTCAAATGGTTTTAAGTACCATCTAACGTCTACAACTCTCAAATTTATATCTCGAGTTCAAATCATACTCCTGAACTCCAGGCCCAATTACCAAAATTTCTGCTGCCTTGTTGTTTTTGAAAGACAAACTGAAGTCTTAATCTTTCTCATCAAAGCTGCTCTATGTGTAGCCTTTCCATCACACTTGAAACCAATTTAATTCCTTCAATGCTCTGGCTAAAAACCTTAAAGTCATTGTAGACTCCTCTCTCTCATACTCCACATCCACAGAAAATCTCATGGCCTCAAGCTTCACAATATATGCTGGAACTAAACACTTCTGACTAACAGTGCTATCTTGCCGCCCCTGCTCAAGCTGTCGTTTCTATCACATAAGTTACCGCAATTGTCTCATTTTTCCATCATCACTCCCCACAAGGTTATTCTCAACACGGTTGCCATAGCTATCCAATTTAAATCAAAAGTCAGGGCGTATCATTCCTCTGTTATAACCCTCCTACCCAATGGCTCCCTATTTCACTCAGAGAAAATTCATAATCCAAGGCCCTGAGATCTGTTCTCCATTACTTTTCTAACCTCATTCCCCATACTTCCACATTTCCTTCTACTTAGACCTTCTTGCTAAACCTTGAACAGTCCAGACATGCATCTGTTTTACACTCTTTGTAACAGATGCACCCTCTGGCTGGAATGTTCTTTCCCTCAAAATTGAAGTAGTTTATTAGCTCCCTGTTTCAAGTCCTTCTTTAAATGTCACCCTTTCAATGATGCTTATCCTGACTTGCATTTAAAATTGGGTCCCAACCTCTCACCCTGCTCACCCCTTGCCACTTATTTTCCAACATTATATATAATTTACTTATTAACTGCCATTCATCACAGACTATTAACCTCCAAAAGATGAGAATGTTTATTAGTTTTATTCACTAATGTATTCCATGCACCTAGAAATGTGCTTGGTACATAGTAGGTAACTCAATAAAGACCATCTGAGTGAATAAATGAAATAGACTTACCCACAGACAATAGTGAACTGCTGTGCAATACTTAAAATTAATCATTTTCTCCTTTGTATCTTGGGCAGATTAATGTGAAAAAAGACAACATTAGAGGGATGATCTGTCCTGATGATTTATCTCTGTCTACAAACTTTTTAGATTTTTGTAAATTAATAGATAGGCGTCTTAGGCCATTTTGTCCTTCTATAACAGAATACCTAAGACTGGGTAATTTATAAAAAACAGAAATTTATTTCCTCATTGGTACAGTTATGAGGGAAAAAAAAGAAAGAAATCCATTTTTCACAGTTCTACAGGCTGGGAAGTCCAAGATCAAGGTGCTAGCAGACTTGGCATCTGAAAAGAGCCCAATCCACAATTCCAAGATGGACCATTGAACACTGCATCCTCCAAAGGGAAAAAATCCTTTGGTTTCACATGACGGGGTACAGGGGGAAGCAAAGAGTTGTACGGGGGACCGAACTCACTCCTCACTCTTCTATAAAGACATTAATCACACCCATAGGGTGAAGCCTTCCTGACATAATCACCTCTCAAAGGTACCACCTCTTAACATTCTAACAAGGGCAATTAAATTTCCACATGAGTTTTGGAGAGAACAAACATTCAAACCATAACAATGAACTTTAACTCTCACTGAATTATAGAGCCAAAATAAATATCAATACATCTAAGAACCTGACTATACAACCCCAACCCCAATTATACATTTGATCATTTGGAATTTTTATAAGAATACTCAATGCATGGCACATTTCAGTGATACAGTTCCTTAAAGCACTCTTCACAGAAGCATTCACCACTGAACAGTCGTTATTTTGGGTAACATTGCCATTAACTAAGATCATAGAGCACGGTCTTGAACTATCAAATTAAGGTGAATTTTAAGTTGGTGAATCTAAATGTATTTATTGTAGTTTAAGGATCACATTTATGAGCAGAAAAAAACTTTTCAAACTAAATCAATATTTTATATTTTAAAAACAATAAATATACCAGCAACCTCAGATATATAGGATTCTATTTTTCTTAAGAAGAAAAAAAAAATAATAAACAGCTTTCTTCTTATTGTTTACTTCTCTGTTAAGCATAAGACCCTAACAGAAGGGTGCAGTGGCTCACGCCTATAATCCCAGCACTTTGGGAGGCCAAGACGAGCAGATCACGAGGTCAGGAGTTTGAGACCAGCCTAGCCAATATGGTGAGAAACCCCATCGCTACTAAAAATACAAAAATTAGCTGGGCATGGTGGCTGGTGTATGTAGTCTCAGCTACTCGGGAGGCTGAGGCAGGAGAATTGCTTGAACCTGGGAAGTGGAGGTTGCAGTGAGCCAAGATGCACCAGTGACTCCTGCCTGGGTGCCAGAGTGAGACTCCATCTCAAAAAAAAAAAAAAAAAAGAATAAGACTCTACCTTCCTGCTATCTCCCAAGAATAAAAATAACTGCAGTCGGCTGGGCGCAGTGGCTCAAGCCTGTAATCCCAGCACTTTGGGAGGCTGAGGTGGGTGGATCACGAGGTCAAGAGATCGAGACCATCCTCGTCAACATGG